AGCTGCCTGAAGGTGGCAGCCAGCTGCAGGAGGTCTCACTCCTGGCTCCTCTCCTGCTGCTCCTGTAGCTCACAGCTGGGCGTGGAGGACTGAAGCCCCTGAGGACTGTGCTCTCCTGGAGTCAGAGCACCACAGCTCATCACTGCTTCATCACAGCCTCTCGTTCAGTTTCTCTCCTCTCCATGAGCTCCTGGGCTGCCTCACCTCTCAAGTCAATGACACGCAGTAATTAAAGAGCACAGGTCCCTGAGCTAACTGTTACACTCAAAACAATTATACTCACACTAACAAGATGCGCAACTGCAAAACAGAAAAATATTGCAGTGAGTCTCATAGAAAGGTTCTATTTTAAAAACTTTTCACCTGATATTTTAATGTATGCATAGTTGTCTTAACTCCGTAAGGTAACAAGTATCTGACCTAACGCTTCATTCAAAATAGTTAAGGCAGTGACAATATCAGTGTAATAAGAGATGCAACTGCAAGCCCTAGACAGAAAGATCACTTTGTAGTGAGTCTGTGTGGGGGGTTCAGGTGAGGTGTCCCTGGGAGGGTTCTGTAAGGTGATGCCATTCCAGCGCTTGAGAAGAATTAGGCGTGGTCACTCGGTGAAACTGAGATTGATGGACCTCGCTTGAATACACCTGTCCAGAGACAGCTGGTATAGCCCAGAGTTAGCGGAGGGGGGTTGGCTCTTGGAAAAGAAGTGATTGTTGAAGAGAGTGTGAGAGAGATGTGAGAAGGATTGAAACTACTATTCTTTAGAGGTTGGGAATTAATTCAGCCTGTTGTATAGTTGGAGGAAAGGTTTCTATGAAAGATTTTAACAATAGGACTCAGGTTTTTGTTTTGGCTATTTTGGCTAGAGAAAATAATTTTATCAGAAAACAAACTTTGATGAAACTTGAAATAAATTTAAATAAGATCAAGTTATTTTTTCTACTTATTTAAAGGGTTTTTAAATAATTACTTTTATTATATACAGTATATAATTAATTTTACTTAAGTGATCATTTTCATTTATTGTTTGTTCTTTTGCAACACAAGTTTAATGTGTAGTCTTCAATTTTTAAATGCCTTTTGTCAAGAAATGTCATTTTAGTGATGAGACTTTAAAAAGCAAATAAGATCAATAGCCAAGCAGAATCACTATGTGTTATCCATATTAAAATTTCCTTTTAATACTTATCATAAAGCACTTTGCAGTTACTTTAAATGTGTAAAGCCCAGACCACATTAACAAAGATGGGTATATTCCTGAAAATAAATTGTTGGAAATCTGGAATCTAAATTCAGTATTAATAATGACATTGCATGCAGTACATTTTACAAAATATTTTAGGAGGAGACAAGTGGAAATTATGGGGGAGTGCATTTAATAGCAAGATTAGGAGGCACTTTACCCAAAGGGCTTCAACAAGCTTTTTCAACAATATACCCAGCTATGTTGTTGAAGCCAAAACTTTGGTTTTATTCAAGAAACAGATGAATGACACCCTTCAAACAATAAGCTAATAACTAACTAAAAGGCTAGACAGGCATAATGGTTGTGATATTTATTTACAAATGTATATCTTGTGAGATACAGTTCTAATATTAATGACTTGGCTCCAAGGCTTCATACAGTTTTAACCATTTATCCTGATGCCAGCAATACCTCATACCTCAGTAGTGTGAAGCCCTCTGTCATGGTTCAACATGAGTATGTGTCTCAGACTTCAAGTCATTGCTCCACATTGCTCAGATGTTATATATTTTTGTAATGCCAACAATCTATAGCTTTGGCTTTATCTAACCAGTTCATCCAGTTTTGGGTCACGGGGAGGGGTGGAGATCCATACAGTAGGAACCATTTTAAACGTATGGGATTTCTGAAAACTTTATTTTCATGCACATTGTAAAAGACATAGTATACACACATACAGTATGTCCACCTTGTTAATACGTACACCATTATAAAGCACTTTTGTGATGGGACAGACACAGTCTTTGATGTTTTCAGTTTTTTTTTTTACAAAACAATAAACTACAAAAAACAGTTTTGTTCAGTCCATTCTGCAAGGGTTTGGCAGTGGTTACCAGAGTGTCCATAACTGTCAATAGAACAGAGTCAAACAATTTCACCAGAGGCTGCAAATGCAATTTTGTAAGGTGATGTTGGTATGAGGATGCAAATATCAGTTGACATACTAACAATATTAGATCAGGGTAAGGTGGTTCTCTTGCTCAATTCACTTCTCAGAATGGAATGAAAAATTCTAACAGCACTTGTGAAACAGGTACATTTTCTTGAACTCTGCAAATATAAAAACTTCCTTCAGTTCTTAGGAGCAGCTCTGCCCATAAGGGCTTTCTTGGTATTTTTCTCTGGATGAAGCAGAATGATGTAACATTTTGGTGCAAATATCGCAACGAGGAGACCGAAGCTTGAAGCCAAGATGGCAAAAATCTCCACAGCATCCGAGTATTTCCCAGGAGAGCTGACATAAGCTGGTATGAAAGCGATCCAAACTGCACAGAAGATGAGCATGCTGAAAGTGATGAACTTGGCTTCATTGAAGTTATCAGGCAGGTTCCTTGCAAGGAAAGCCAGCAGAAAGCAGACACTGGCGAG